AATTCCGACTTCGCTCTCCCACCAAGGTCGGAATTCCGACTTCGTTCCTGCAAGTCGTTTAAGCCCAGCCTCAGGTCCTTATTCATTTTGCATTGCTTTGCCATCTTCGTCAACACCCTGGTGTGCGACAGGTCTGCAACACCACGTTGCCCGGTTGCCTGCGATTACGAGTGGTTAAGGACAGCTGCGTCAAGCTTGCACTGGGGCGTCCGCTCCAAAAAAAAACCCGGCGCTCTGGTGCCGCCGCAGCGCCGCTGCCCATAGGAAAGCCATAGAAAACCCATAGGAAAAGAAGAAGAAGGCTTCCTATGGGTTTTCTATGGCTTTCCTATGGGTTTCCTATGGGTTTCCTATGGGTTTTTTATAGGTTTCCTAGGTTCCGACAGGTTCCTATAAGGCTCCAAAAAACCTCCGAGCTCCGACCCCCTGCCGCGCCACCTGCCCGGCATAGAAGCACCGGGCCGCACTACCTGCCCGACATTGGAGCGGCTCACGGAGGAGACACCACAACAGGATTGACGGCAGGGCGAGTGAATGGTGAAAAAAACACTCCGTCAGCGGCGCCGCGGATCGCATTGGCCCGGGATGATTTTTTCGGGCAAAATACCAAAGTCGGAATTCCGACCTTGGTGGGCGAGCGTAAGAATCTGACGGGCACTGCCAGGTACGAGATGGTGAGACTTGACTACTTGCACCTTACCAGCGTGCTTAGGGGGTTTGCAAGGGCTTCCAGGAAGCCTCCATAAGAAACGGCTGACGCCGCAGCCGCAGGCTTCGGCAGCGTAGCGCGGCTTTCTGTACGGGTTCCGTACTTGCAGCAGGTCACGTCCACCCAGGCGTCCATGAAGGGCCGCTTCAGCAGCCCGGTGGCCGGGTTCTCACGACCCATAGAGCGGGTCAATAATCTTAAGGTTCCTATAGGTTTCCTATGGGTTCTAAAGGTTCCTATAACAGCGTTTCTGCTGCGCTGTGCGACAAGATTGCGCGCGCGGCCACGGCGGCGGCTGAGCATTCCGGATTAGGCCCTTGAAGAACCCAGTTCTCCGTGTTTTTGCTGGTTTTTTTGGCGCTGCCACTCAACTTCAAAAACGAAGTTGCATGCAGTAAGTTGCTTTGTTATTTTTTTGGCAGTCGTAGTCAAAAACCCCGGCCTGGCCACCAGGTGAACAGTCGGTCAGAACTCGGACGTTCTGAAGTCAAAGTCGTTGCTCAGCGTGGCGCCCGACGGGTGCGCCCCGTTCTCGGACCACAGGCAGTCGTCGCGTCCGAACTTGATTTCTATCACCAGGTTAGCTGCGGATGCCCACCTTAGCACCTGGTGCACCGTGCGGACAATGCGGGTCGTCGACTTCGTCGAAACCGCCCAGGCCCTTCAGCAGGTGAGCTCATCAGCGCCGCCGTGCGGGTACATCCAATTCCTCTGCTGCTGGAGGCTGCGCAACCAGCACGAGCTGGACGCCGTGGTGTAGGAGCTGAGCGCCCGACTCAAAATGTGTATAAACAAGCATGGAGGTAGTCACCGCCGGAGGATAGCTGATGCAGAGCCTGGACTACAAGCTGAAGACGAGCAACACCAGCCACGTGACGGCGCGGCTCCACCCAAGTCGATCAAGATCGCCTTCCGCGTCAGGAACACGGACGGCACCAACCCGGCCCCAGCCACGCCCAACCCCGCCTGCTTCGTCCAGCGCGCCCAGGTCTTCGCTGCGACGACATCAATACTACGGCCGCACCATGGCCGCGCAGGGCTGATCTGCATGACGGCCTCGGATGAAGAGCGTGTCAAGGGGATCGTTGGCCTCGGCCATATCGTCACAGATTATCAGGACCTGGTACAGTTTCTTCATCTCCAACTTCTTGGACGTCTCCGTGATCTTGTGCTATGGAAGGACTAAATTAAACAAGTAAATTCTCTCAAACACGCCCTTGTACTGCTCCAGAATCAGGCTGATCAGAGCCACGGTTTTGCCGGACTTGCTGGGGCCGAGAAAGATGCCGGTGCATGGCACCAGGGGCGCCACGGGGTCCGACGATTGTTTGCTGCTGTATTCTGGTGGGGAAAAGCTTGGTCTTTCCATTCCTTTGTTTTTAAAGCCGGGAGGCCGGCGGCGAGACCGGGAGCGATGCCAGCAGATGGCATCGCAGCCGGAGTTTTGTGGGAGATGCAATCCTGTTGCCAGCGCGGCGGTGCGTTCATCCTGCTGGCCTCCGGTGGTCTCTGCCGCGGCGGGCGGGCTGGCGCCTTTGGGTTTTAAACAACTCGCGCCCACACAGCTGCCTCTATTCTCATCTTGAGATCATGGCCTCTCCGGCGCGCCCGCAAGCCTGTATGGTTTCGCAGCGAGACCTGCTCAAGAAGTGGGAGGCCGACCAGGAGCCCGACGAGATGCGTCGGCTGCACCTTGGAGGAGTCGCACAAGCGCCGGCGCACAGATGCCGAGCAAATGGCAGAACATGCGACGCGGACCAACGCAGCGTGGCTCAAAGACAGGATTGACGCCCTCCAGCATCTGCTCAAAGTCGAAACCGACGGCGTTCAGGGGGTGCTCAAAATCCAGACCGACGCCGCCTTGAGGCGGTTTGCGATCGCAACCGACGTTCTCCACGAGTGGCTCCAGACGAAACCGACGTCCGTCGTGATCAGCTCTTGACCGACACCATCAACCTCGAAACGGGGTTCAAATTCAAAACCGGTGCCCGTGGCTCGGAGTCGAAACCGACGCCCTCTATGACCGCATCGTAGGCGAAGAAGTCATCACCTTCCATGAGCAGCTCCAAATCGAAGCCGGCCGCCTGCATGAGCAGATTGCCTCCTAAGTCCAAACAAGGCTTTCGCCCGTCATAAGGCAAGCGCGCATCCGCGAGGAAACAAATGCTGCGGCGGCTTCGCTGTTGTTTGGCGACAATGTTTGAGAGTTTGGAGAGTTTGAGAGTTTCTGAATTTGACTGGCCAGCGCCTTTGCTTGCATAATCACTGATGCTCGAGTCACACACCATGCAAAACTCTCATAAACTCTCACCCCCTCAGAACTTTCGAAACTCTTAAACTCTCAAGACGTTCCAGGTTCTCATCAACTCTCAAACCCTGAAAACTCTCACAAGCTCTCACCCCCTCAAAACTCTCCAAACAAAACCCCCGTGATGAGATCATTTGCATGGTGTGTGTGACTCGAGCATCAGTGAAATCTGCAAGCAAAGAAGCTGCCCCGTCAAATTCAGAAACTCTCAAACACTCCAAACTCGAGCAGGAACATTTGCATGACATCATGTGTGACTCAAGAGTGGTGAGAGCTTGATGTGTGTAGCTGAGAGACAGTGTTGAACCAGAGCTTGTGCACAACTCATTTGAGAGCTGCAGGGGTTCAGATTTGAGAGCTTGAAAGTTTTGGCCAATACTGACCTGCTAACGGTACGGAAAAATTCAGAAAAATCTGAGTAAATTCAATAAACTCTGAATTTGAGGCTTGCCCAGTACTTGCTTCCATTTGCTGAGTTCAGACAATTCTGAATAAATTCAGAAAAATTCTGAACAAATCAGAAAAATTCTGAATTTGAGGCTTGCCCAGTACTTGTTTCCATTTGCTGAGTTCAGAAAATTCTGCATAAATTCAGAAAATTCTGAATAAATTCAGGGGGGGCTGGGGGGGGGGCGCAGCCCCCCCCCATTATAGAACTGAACAAGAACAACGAAGAACGTCGGGCTCCGTCAAGCATAGGCGGGGGCGTTGGGGGGGGGCGCAGCTCGCCAAAGGGTTGGGGGGCGCACCCCCGCCATGATAGAACTGAGGGCTCCGCCAAACAGAGGCGGGGGGGTTGGGCGGGGCAGCCCGCCAAACTTAGGCGGGGGGTGGGGGGGGCGCAGACCCCCCCATTATAGAACTGAACAAGAACAACGAAGAACGTCGGGCTCCGTTAAACATAGAACATAGGCGGGGGGTTGGGGGGGGGGCGCAGCCCCCCGATGCTAGAGCTGAACAAGAACGACTAAGAACGTCTGGTTGGGGGTGGCGCAGCCCCCCCCCATGATAGAACTGAACAAGAACGACGAAGAACGTCGGGCTTCCCCAAACAGAGGCGGGGGGGGTTGGGCGGGGCGCAGCCTCCCCCCATGATAGAACTGAACAAGAACGACGAAGAACGTCGGGCTTCGCCAAACAGAGGCGGGGGGTTGGGGGGGCGCAGCCCCCTAATATAGAAAGGAACAAGAACGACGAAAACGTCGGCTCCGCTAAACATAGTATGGGGTTGGGGCGGCCCCCCTCCCTGTTATACAACTGAACAAGAACGACCAAGAACGTCGGGCTTTGCCAAACAGAGGCGGGGGGGTTGGGCGGGACGCAGCCTCCCCCCATGATAGAACTGAAAAAGAAGGGCTCTGCCAAACAGAGGCGGGGGGGTTGGGGGGGCGCAGCCCCCCCCCATTATAGAACTGAACAAGAACAACGAAGAACGTCGGGCTCCGTTAAACATAGGCGGGGGGGTGGGGGGGGGGTGGAGCGAAGCCTCCCCCCATGATAGAACTGAAC